TTATTGCTAACGAATTGAGCTCGAATGCCTTGGCTGTATCGTAAATATTAGGTAATCGTCTGTGATACACAAAGAAATCTGCTCGATGGGTACCACGAATTTTAAATCAGGTCCAAAAAGATTCTCTAGGACATTTCGCCCTTTAGCAAAGTCGTCACTCATGGCAAATCGGGGTTCTATAAGTACGATCCGGAAACAACAGTAATCCATGGTAAGGAGCCGAACAGGAGCAAACCAACCCGTAAAATCTGAGCAACAATAATCAGCAGTAAAAGTAATGAAGCCAGTTTACTAAGCCCGATCTTAAATTATAACTGATAATCCGCTGGAAAAGGGTCAGACGGTAACTCTAAAATGATGCACCGAAGAGCGCTTACCAAAAGTTTTAAAAAATTTGTTCGAAGCCAGGAAGAAGGAGGATTTGTGGCGCTACTTTCTACATCATAACTCCGCGCCATTCCACACTGCTGGAATAACGAGTAATTTTATTTTGATCTGTGGGTTCGAAGAAATACATCCTGCACCATTTTATCCGGATATAGCACCTTGTGATTTCTGCTTCTTTCCAAGATTACGAGTAAATGCAAAAAAGAAATTTTTTTTCTGGCCAATTTACCGAACCTTTGTTAATCACCTCGTATATACATATACGTTTTCACATATAAAACTCAACATACTAAATACCATTTTAGTATAACCATCGTTACTATGAGCATGAGTACGTATGTATGTGTGCTCTTAATGCAACATGTATTCAACCTGTAACAGTGTTTTTTTTTCGTTGCTCAAGTTTATGTAATTACAACCTGTTTCCTTAATGTTTTGTGTGGCTGCTGCTTGCAGTCGTTTATTTTTCTTTTTGATTCCACATACTCTACTCGTAGATACATACGTACATTATATACTCTGTGGCTTCCTGTCCAGATTATATTATGGTTGAGCTGAGAATCGAAATTAATTAGCTCTTGCACTGTTTGATCTTCACTCGTTGGGTGAAAAGCTCATAGTAATAGGCATCATTTGGCCTTTATTTTCTTTTAATTTCTATAAAATGAAAAAAATAAAAATAAAAAAGTGTGAAAAATACAATACATATAAAACCAAGTAAATCAGGGAAGTAAGTTAGAAAGAATTTATGCATTTAGTGCTAATGTAAAACATGTAAGAATTTGATTTTCACATAGTTTTTGGAAAGTCTGGAATGACCTTTTCACTTATGAAAAGAGCTGTATTTAACCATGCAGACCTGACCATGCCAAAATTATGAAATATCATTTTAGGATTACATATTTATTTTTATATCTTTATGATAAAGTTTTCCGATTTCAATCGTTTTCGGCATCAATATTTATTTGCACATACATATGTACGTATTTATGTAATACTTCATTTCTGAACGAATCAGTATAAGAAATTTATATTTCGACGATGCTCGGTGACAATGCTTATTCGTGCATACGAGTCTCAAGAGGGTTGCCAAACAGAGGCATTGTTTGGGTATTTAAAGAAACTTACCCATTAAAAGATCTATGGCCTCCTTGCTTGTGCGACACATAGCGCCGTTTTGTTGAAAGTAAACACGGTTCAGATCAAAATCGTCCAATTCTGGCCATATAAGATCATTAATCATTTCCTGATAGCAAAATCCATTCATTTTCGAACAAATTAAATCCAATGATTCCGCCGGAACATAAACCACACCAAACGGTTACACGTTGTGGATGAAGATCGGTCACATAAATCAAGCTGAGTTCTCAATGAAATTCATCTAGCGGAACAGCAGGCCATTAAAGTAACACCTCTTATTGGAAAACCTTTTGTAATACTAAATATTACTCTGAAATACTTTTTTGACCTAAAATCTTCGATTTTAGAAACCGATCGCAGGCTTAAAAATAGACTAATTTTTTTGAATTTATTGTAGGAATGTAGATAGAAAAAGGAATAGCATTTCTATTTAACCATTTCATTCAACTAATATTGACATATAAAAAAATATTCCTCAATTTTTATTTTGTTACAAAATGGCGGTGATAAAGTCCAGAAAGGACAGATTTCTGCTAAAGGATGACACCAGGAACAGAAAAACAAGAAGTTGTATGATATACAAACTATGGTCTTTGGAATTCAGCATGAATTTATATTCTAACTAATTTTTGTGAAAACGGCACACCTATTTTAAAAATATTGATTTTTGACTAAAAAATACGCACTAAATTATCAAAAAAAAAAAAAAAAATAAATAAAAAATTGAAAAACGGCTACGTACTTCCAGCAAGTATGTATTTGTGAAACTACCATTAAAATTCCAGATAAATCGATTCAATAAGGCTCGAATAATCTGTCCTCTCAGTTTGGTTTTAAGAAAAACTCGCTTAAAATTTTCATTGTACTCAGCGCACTTTCTGGTTGCAGTAAAATAAAGAGTTCAGTTTTTTTAAATAAATTTACTCTTTGTTGTTGGTAGATGTTTTATATATAAAGTCCAACTGAAAATCAGCAATAAGTTAAAAATGCTTTGAATAATACGCCTCAGGCCCATTTGGGTATACGGAAATATAGGTTAAAACTTTTATGCGACTCTGTATAATGGACTTTGCAAATTTCACTAATATTTAGTGTTCTATTTTGAACACATTTTGGTTTACTTTGTTGTTTTTCCTCCATTGTATACTTTTTATTAATTTTATTTTATATTTTTGATATTTACTTATTTTTTAATTTTAATGTTTTATTTTTTTAATTTTTTATATATTTATTTTTGTTTTTTTTTTTAAGCATCTATTTTTTCTTTTTTACTGGGTCTTGCTATATTTATGATATCCAATATATCAAATTGTATTTGATTTTATTTAAATTATTTTACTTTTTCATAGTAAATTACCACATTCCCACATTTATTTAATTTGGATTTTATAATTGGTAACCGCAGTGATTTAATAACAGTCTAATTTAAAAATGAGCGTGCGTTACTGAGAAAAGATCGAATGCACTAAGGAAGTAATTATGTTTATTAATTGCAATTTAAAGTGTATTTTATGTCGTACTGTTCTAACTTTTTATCCTCACACAACACAATTACATATTTGTGAGATTTATGATTTATATTGACATTTCAAACATTCAACCGAAAATCGACTATTAACACAATTTTAGAAAGTTTTTCTTTTCAAAAGGGTCCTACAAAGAATAGTCATTTGAAGAAAACCGAAACACGTCTTTCTTGAATAGGTTGATCGCTGACCAAAATCTTGGAAGAGTAATGAACCGCTTATCCACCAAATCAGCTTTGAGCTGGTCAGTCCCTGATTCACATCTACGATTATTTCGTATTATTGTACGAATTGATGCAATACATAGAAACTGGTCAAAACTTAACTTAGTTATAAGCGTAGTAACTAACAACACGTTCTTTTACATTACATATATAGAAAATTATATTTTGTTTTATTTTATTTTATTCTGTTTTCCTTTTTTTCTACTATTTATTTTATTTAATTTATATTCGTATTATTGTTATTGTATTAGATTATATTTGTATATCATTTTATTTTATTTTTACCTTATTTTATTATTTCATTTTTATTTAATTCAATTTTTTATTAATTTTTTTTTTGTTGAAATTATTTTATCTTATCTTATTTTATTTCGTTTTATTTAAATTTTTTTTATATATTAATGGTTTTAGCGACCATTATTTTTTTGAATTCAAAAGGTTTGCCGGCTTGAGGTCCGAATAAATAAAAACAATGTCAATAACGTTTTCTACCGGTATATTTCGGCTACTCTTCGGTAGCCGTCTTCAGGGTAAATTGAATAACACGTCCTATCAGTGTGACGTGGAGTTTTGTATTTTATTTTATTCGTTTTATTTCATTTTTATTTCAACTTATTTCATTTTGCTTTATTAATTTGCTTGCTTTTTTATTTTTTTATTGTTTTACTTGGTTAGTCTATTTTTTTTTATGAAAATAATTTTATTTTATTTTATTTGAAATTACTTTGTTTGATTTATCTTATTTCTTTATTTTTTTATTTTGTTTTTTATTTTATTATTTTTTACTTTGTTTGAGTTTTTTATTTCTTAACTTTTATTAAAGTAATTTTATTTATTTTATATCAAAAATACTTCAAATTCATAAATATTTCTTTTTATATATTTTCTTGCTTGGCAAATAAATACATAATTTGCAGTTAGATGTTTTATTTATAAAAAAAATCTATTTCATCTGTTTTATCAGTGGATTACAGGTTTTCATTTGTACTTATTTCTAATGTTGAACACAGCGCTGAATGAAATGCAAACTATTGTCTTGACTAACGGAACCTACTACATAAGTGCTCTCAAACTGTAGCAGCATTGATATGCGTCAATAAAGCTGCTACATAAATATTGTCCATGGATAATGAGAATTACTCATGCGCCATAGCCATCCTTGAATTTAATAGATAGAACAATGACCATAAGCAATTGACGCTCACCTGAGTGCAGTGTACATACACGCATGCATGTGAATATGCACTTAACTATGTATTATCTAAAATTGTAATGTGCTATACACATTTAACATGATTTGCATTGTAAGCATGCCATGCTCCTTGCTCTCTTCTTAGTTGGGAGTAGAGCATAGTTTAATCCGTTATGCATAGTCAATAAGAGGTCTGTTTAAATCAAGTCTCTGGTCAAAATTGTCCCGTTGAGTCTTAACTCGAAACGTTATATGCATAATAAGGCTTCACTTAGGTGTGAACATTAGTATGTATTTAGTGTTGATTGCATTCGATTATTAGCTCAAAATTACTGAAACGCTGCAAGTGCATCACGCACTAAATATTATATATATGTATATGTATATCCTTAATGCGTGTATAGTAATTGCAGCTTTTAAATTGCGTTTCCATAGCCGTATGGTTGAGCTTTCCGATTAAATCTTAAATTATGATTGGATGCGCGTGACATTCAGAGAAATTATGTAAATAGCAGCTCGTGTGCGGACAATATGCTGAAGCGTTGTGATGGTAAAGGTTAAAAGTAAAGGTTAGAAGTAAAGGTCAGAGTTGCACAGTAGTGTCACGAAATGTGAAGCAATATTAAAAAAAATAATAAAATTAAGTTTTACGAATGTTAAATATCGGGACAATGGTGGATAAGATAAAATAAACAAAGCGATTAATAGAAAAATTAAAAAATACAGTAAAAGTTAAATGAACTCAAAGCAAAAAAAAAAAATAAATAAATAAAAATTAACAATTAAAAAATAAAAAATAAAAAATAAAAAAAAATCATTAAATTGAAATTGAATCAATACAAAATTAAATTAAAATATAGTTCAAACACATAAATAAAATAATGTTAATGGTAATAAGCAGCAAACTAACATTAATATTTTAATTAAAAAAATTGAAGGTGAATGAAAAAAAAAAATAAGAAAATTTTTCAAAAATATTTAATAAAAATAAAATACAAAAAAGTTAGGAAATTATAAATGAAAAACAAAATTAATTTAAATAAAATAAAATAAAGTAAAATAAAAGTCAAGAAAGAGGTGAAAAAATAAAGTATAAATGTAAAAAGTAAAATTAAAAATGAATTCAATAAAATAGAATAAAACCTGATAATACTAAAAAAATTAAGTACAATAAAGAAGAGGGAACTAAAATTAATTTAAATAAATTAGATAGAATTGTATTTATTTTATACAAAATGAAGCAAATTAATTAAAAAATGATTAAAATAAACAAAATAAATCAAATAAATAGTTAAAAAAATATAAAGTAAAACTGATAGAAATAAAACGAAACAAAAATATGAATTTTTACAAAATAAATTGAGTAAAAAATTTAATAGGAAGGAAATTATTACTGTAAAACAAAATTTAAATAAATCAATTTTAAGAAAGAAAAAAAAAACTAAAATAAAATATATACAAATAAAGCAACAAATATGAATTAAATAAACTGAAATAAAATAAAAAATTGAACAATATTTGAACAAACTTAAGCATACTAAAAATGTATTAATTTAAAATAATGAAATACAAAATTAAAGCCAGATGAAAGAAAATTAACCAAGTAATAAAAAATTACTTTAAGCAAAAAAGATTATAAATGAAAAAAAAAAATTAAAAAAAAATAATAAAATATAAAATAAAAAAATAAATATAAAAACAAATTCAAATATAATTAAATAATTTAAATGAAGTCAAACTGCTTAAAAAATAAATTAATTAAAATTTAGTAAAATGAAAAAATTATAACAAAAAAAATTAATTTATTAAGATAAGGGAAAGTAAAAAAATAATTTAATAAAATAAAATAAAGCCAAAAAATAAAAAAAAACCATAATATGGAACATGAAATAAAATAATACATAAAAACACAAGTCAAAGAAAAACTTATCGAATAGAAAAAGAAAGTAAAAGAAATAATCCCAAAAATAATAAATAAAATCATAATAAAATAAAATAAAGGTAAACTTTAACTTATCAAATTAATAGATATAATAAAAAATAAACAAAATTTAATTAAGAAAACTAAACTTTCGATTCAGTTGTCTACTACTGTCTGCTTCAAAAGTTGACCCTGATGACTCGACTAAAACCCAATAAATTAATAAATCATTGGCCAATGCTTGTTGCTAGTATAAAAACATGTATTCAACCCAACGAATTGTCTTCCATATTTCTCGACAATCCAACAAGTATGATTATTATTTGGGATACTGCTTGACAATTACATTTAAAAATTGGTTATGCAAATCAATTGTCATTTATAACTGATTTAATTTTTTTATTGTGGGATAGTCAGTTGCGAAATGATGTAGCTACATATGTGAGTGTCCTTCTATGCATTTTACTCATATTTTTGATAATAACATTACCTTAATTAGTGTAGTGGAATTAGTATATATTTTTAAGCATTGAAACAAAACAAAACAAGCCAATGTAAAAACTTTTCGCATAACTTTAACTAGTTAAAGTTAAAATAGCTAAACATATCCACAAGCGTTCTCAGGTGTTGAGTTGTGTGCCATAAAATCGATTAGAAATTCACGTCACAACTAAATGTAGGATATGAAGGGAGAATTATGGTAAACGACAATCCCATTTTAAAGCTTGTGTGGGTTTACTGATGCCGCTGACCCTTTTACCCCAACCAGGTATCGTGTGTTGGCGCAAACGTCATCACCATCATCGTTCCGTAAAGTTCATTAATCAACTGGAAATGAGTGTACTTGAATGATGCTAGGTTTGGGTGGTGCAAGTTGAAGAACGTAATAAGGAAGGCTGTTGTGCTATGCCAAAGTTTACTTTGGCGCCAATATAATATGCGTATTAGTGGATATACACTATCTTGAGAGAGTTTGCCATAATTCATTCCTTGTGTATGCCACTAGAGGAGACTACCAGCTCTTACTATGAAAATATATATAAAAATAGCTCATCCGGTAAAACATCGGCCCTACCGCTTTATTGTTCTTTTAGCAGCCAATCCCTATTCGGATCTCATCATCGTCGGGAACGGATCATCTTCTTCATAATCACCGATTGCGTATTTGGGTTCCCAATATCTGGTTTTCGTCGTTCAGTAGGCTGGAGAAGTGGTCCCTGCATGAATTCGGTATACTCTGGGCATCCGTCACTAGATCACTCTTCTGGTTCCTACAAGAATTTGCTCCGGTCTTGACACCTTCTGTAAGTTGCCGTAAATTTTTATTATTCGAACACTATTGTTGTCGGTCAGCTGCTGAAGCCTTCCTACTTACGCACTTCGGCCTCTTTTAATTTTTTGCTTGTTAGAAACGCGTCTTGCTTCCCTCTTTAGCTCTCAGTATCACTTCGACATTCCTCATCGTACGAGCTCTTTTTATGTCACTGACGAAAACCAATTGTTTTCTAAGCGCCGGTATGTAGGGAGCTTGAAATGCCCTCCCATGGCTCCCGTATACCGAGTTGCTGATAAGTGCTCTCATGAGACAGGTGTGCAAGCTGAGTGATAAATCGTTCGCCTGTTTGTTGTGGTTACAGCTTTTCCACGCTGAACCTTCCTTTTGTTTGTTGATATTTGATACAAAGAGAAGCATGTCGTTGCGACAAGATAGTGATCTGAGTCGATGCTGGGTCCTCGGATCGTAGGTGCAACTCGTCCTACTTTAACAACATGAACGATATAGATATGAGTTGTTCGGACTGAAGACAGCCAGTTGACTTGATGAATTTTTGTGCTAAAATCTAGTACTACAGACAACCATATTTTGGGACACGGCGACATTGATCAACTTCAGATTATATGGAAAAGTTTCGTCATGGCTGCTGAAAATCCCAATTGTTGTGGCAAAAATGCGTTCTCTGCTCACTTTGTCAAGAACAAAAAATAAGTGGCTCTCGCGTCCGTCGCATTTCTTTTAGGGTGTAGCAGCATTTGCTGGTATTGTCGGTCTGTTCACTTCTATTCTGATTTCACTAGCGAATTCCTCAAGAGCTTTCGCTACCGTTTGTTTTGAAAGTATGTGGGGTACATCCGAGGACACCGTCACAGGTGACCGGAGAGAGGTAACAAGGAATGAATATTTAATTTAATGGTCTCCATTTCATCACAGAATTTCGATTTTTTTTAATAGTGATTTTATTATAGATACTTATCAGCCAAAAAATAGCGAAAATTTAAATTAAAGATTATGAATTTTAGATACAAGCAAAAAAAAGTAGCCCAATTTTTAGCTTTACTTTTTTTTAATTTTTAATTGCAAAGTAAATTTTAATGTTTTTACGTTAAACCTTTTTAATTTGAATATTTTGAAAGGACTAAAAGTTAAAACTATGCGTTGTACTTTTCTCACAATTTGTGCTTATGTATTTATATATTATTTTAAATTAGTAAAAAATAAAATATTATTTTGCCATTATCATTCATTTTGAAATTCACCATACATTTTCTAAATTATTTGTGAACCCCACGGTTCTGTAAATCTTTAAACCTTAAAACTTTAACATTTATGTTCAGTGCTTTCACATGCTAATTTTGCATGTGTGTACAGTGTCAGTGTCTGACTGAGACTGCATGGCTTTTGCAAGTTATAGCTACTGCTGCTAACATACACACACAAATTTACACACCCACACACAGATACTTCACTACAATTTGCTGCACCAAAAATGAGCAATGGAAAGTAAATATTCGAAAAGTTTTCGTTATAGAGAAAAGAGATGTAGAAAAGTTGTTTCATACTTCTTGAACTTTTTGCTGTTTGCTAATTAATTAGCAACTATTTATGTTGTGCACTAATGTACATATGTGTATATACTATGTTTGTATGTATAATTGCATTGAGGTGAAAGAAGCAAAAATAGCTCTGGAATTAAAAATAATCAAGGTTTCCAACGTTAAGTCGAATATAATGCTTCCTTAATGAGGACTTTTAGGAAGTTTGCAGCTTTTTTAATTTCATTTACACCTGCTGAATATTGATTAACAACTAAATCAGTAATAAATAAAATTATCGGTATTAGGCTTATTGAATTTAACTAGAGAGTAGTATTTCTTTAATTCCATACTGTGATGTAGGTGCTGTTATTAAATTCATGCACTATAAAACAAATCTCAAAAATTTTATAATTTTTTCCTTTGGCAATCCCAAATGAATTTTTTTTCTGCATTTTTGACTATAAAAAATCCCGGTTTCATTTCGTATATTTTTTTTATTTTTTCTAGCAACGCTTACGGAAATTGAAAATGATAACAACACTGAAAATGCGCAGTTCATTGAAGGGCAAGAGGATGATGATGAGGAGAACGAAGAATATCCGGGTTAGTAAAAAAGCCGCTTTATTTTTATAACTAATTGGTGTGAGCCACTATCAGAAGCTATTTTAAATTTGTCTAGCTGACAAAAATTAACATTTTTTTCTTTATTCTTTTTTCCTCTTTTCTTTGTTTCGCAACTATATACACAAACAGAAGAGCAACTCGTTGAGAAACCATTTAAATTTGAGGATTTCGCTAAGAGGTAAGTGAACCTCAATTAATATATAAATTATTTTAATAAAAAATGTAGTTGCGGCTGGGATAGCCAAGTGGTTAGCTGGTGATGCGTACTGCATTTCAGAATTTTAGAAAATGCATTGAAATAAAAATCAAAAATCAATCTTTCATGGGTATATTCACACTTTCTTTCCTTATATATTAATATACTATATATAATTCTATGTTAAGCCGAAGGCCATAGCAGCCAGTGCTTTAGTTCATGAGTAGAATAATTATTGTATAATTATTTTTCTTTATAAAAGTAAAATAAAATATTTTATTGAATTGCGGTCACCCATCGCTTGGGAATTTCACGACAGGTAATAAATGCTTCCCATAAAAAGAAAGAAGGAAAACATATATACACATTCCAAAAATTCGATGAGGAACTCGGCCGAAAATCGCTTCTACAGTTTTACTGTTATCATATAGATCTAATCGGCGCTTTGTAACCGCTGAAGCGCAAGATCATCTTCACAGAGATGGACACATCAGCGTTGCCAGACACACAGCGAGAGACACCCCTCAAGGTGAAGGAAGTTGCGTAACACAAGTTGTGGCATACGCTGACGACCTTGCGACAGGCAAAAAGCATCAAACATTAGGCGATTTATTCCAAAATGCTCTTTGTGTAGTTGAGAGATGGTGCAAAGATGGCGGACTGGACGTGAACCCTAATAAAACCGAGGTGATGTTATTTACCAGGAGGTACAAACCGCATGCCTTTAAACCACCACAACTAAAGCGCGTGGAGATTACCCTCTCTCCCGAAGTCAACTTCCTTGGAATTATTATATATAGCATACTAAACTAGAGCCGAAACACGGCAGAAAGTTCAAGGAAAGCTATAACTCCACTCTACCCCTGCAAAACAGCGATAGGAAAGAGATGGGGCTTAAGACCGAGTATCGTTCATTGGATATACACATTGGGGGTAACACCCAATCCTATTCTACGGGGTCACCGTCTAGTGGCCGGCACTCGATAAAATCACTTTCAGAAGCAAGTTAGAGATAATTCAAGGATCTATCCTGACGACGGAAGCATTTCCATCAACTCCCTCGAAAGCAGTGCTAACTCTTCTCTATAGGACCTACAAAAATATTATCTCTTACAGAAGTGTCGAAGGAGCTTGACCCCACCTCCAGTATTTGCTTCGATAATATTTTCATTTCAACATAAGAATCCCAAACAGATGCGAGTGAGAAAACACCAACGCCCCCGAACAGGGAGCAGTAGCCATCTTCATAGACGGCTCGGAGCTCAATGGGAGGGTGGGTTGCGGAGTTCATTCTCCCATGCTTTCAGTACACATGAGCATGAGAATACCGGATCATAGCAGGGTTTTCCAGGCGGAACTCTTCGCAATAATGGTTGAACAAATCTACGGCAGCAGGACAATCAGTAACAATCTACTCCGATAGTCAGGCTGTAATCAGATCTCTTCAATGTAATGGTACCACGTCAAAAGTGGCCACAAACTGTAAAAACGCTCTCAACAAACTCTCAACAAGTACAGTGGTCTGAGTACCTGGACACAGGGACATTCCAGGTAATTGCATAGCAGATGAACCAGCAAGGGAGGGAGCTCTGCTATCTACGATAAAACACGCACATAATACTGATTTACCTCTATCCACGACTAAAAACTTGCTTAGACTGGAATTCATAAGGGAAGCTAAACTCACAATGGTTGAACGGGATCACGTGTAATGTGAGCAGACAGCTATGGTCAAAGTTGGACGCGAAAAAATCTTGGTGTAATAACTGGACACTGTTTAAAGATCTTCACGGGATTTGGTTGAGCTTTTACTCTAACGATTTCTGTTTTGGATGTTGGTCGCACGGGGATTTGAACCCGAGAATTCGGAATGGCAGTACGCAATGCTAACCATTCGGCTACCGCGGCCGTCGTTATTACTTGAATGAAAAACTCATAAAATACTAAACTGGGATTTGCATTATACCCTCATGTATAACATATAATTCTACTTATATAACACCGTCCGACAAAATTTTTGACCCACGAAAGAATCAAAATTTTCGGAAACTAGCTGAAAAAAAAAATACCTGTGTCTGGATGTTTTGATAGGTCGTGTCGTTTATGATTTCAGGGGTCTTTAGAATTTCAATGAGTTTTACACTTCGCATCAATAAATTTAAAATTAGCGAAAGTGGTTCGAAGAGGTAAAATTTTTAATTCAATATGTTCGAGAATGCTCGAAAAAGCTGGAATTTGAAAATAAACGAGTGTGCGATAACTCGTTACACAAAAGCCCAAGCTGCATGAAAATGTTCGAACAGAAAGTTTTCGGAAAGAGTTTTTTCGGCTCATCATGAATTCATTCAAACAGGACAGACGGTCAATATATGAACGTTTTCAGGCCTTTGCGCGAAAACATCCAATGTAAACTTTCATGACTATAATGCGCCATCGCACCGAGCTTTTTTAGACCAAAACTTGTTCAATACCATCAATCAACCATCCTATTCATGGGATTTTTTTTGTTTCCCAAACTCAAGTCACTACTCCGTAGACCTCATTTCGACTCGATTGAGGCTGTAAAAGAAAGTTTGCTGACGGAACTGAGGTTGAATGATTTCAACAGTTGGTGCAAACAAACTGGTTGGCAGATGGCGCTCTTATTTGGCATAGTAGTTGAGGATCAATTTAGCAAAAAAAAAAGTGCTGAGATATAATCAGCGCGGGCAGTTTAAATGACAATTTCTGGAAACTTTCCTGTCTTATGTATAATTATTATGTTGACGAAGTGAAAATGATGATGATATAGATTCCACAAAATACGGAAATCAAAAACCGAATAAATCACTCGACTCAGCCCATAAAATTACTTATTTGCCATATATACCGGCGACATCTATATGTGGTCTTGGTACGACAAGTTTGTATGCTTAAAACTCATGCAAATAAAAATACATTACTTGTCGGTGGAGCGATTTAAAGTACTAGTATGAATTCGGTTTTCCGAATATTAAATTAATTTAAATTCTAGTAATCATATAATTCAATTTTAGGCCTGCCCATACACACATGCTGCCAAAAAGCTATGTCTAAGTGTATGCCAGCTGCCGTATTTAGCATAGGAAACCGACACAGCGTCTTCCCGAATGACCTTACATGAGAAAAAGGATTTTTTTTTGCTTTTTGGGTGAGTACACCCAATACAAACAAAGCAAAAAGAAAAACAGCTAAACAACTAAACAACATAAAATAAAAGTGAAAAATTTAATAAATAAGGAAGAAAGGCAATTAAAGAATGCTTATGGCCCGCAGCAAAGCCCAACTTAACTAATTTATTGTGCTATTGGTATGCAGACACTAAAATGGAGGTGGGAGTTTATTAGCATTGAGCTTTACATTTTTTATAACCACCATTACTTGGGTATTTTACTTAAGCATTCCCAATAAACACTAAGGCTTGAGTTCACCTATATATAAAATTTTACTTGGAATTACTTCTTGAGTAAATCACAATAGGAGTGTAGCAGTGCAGATTGGTCGCATTTAGTGTGTCTGGCAACACTATGGTTTTATTATCGTCTATGTGATGTCCAATGAGCTAGCCAGTTCAATCTAACCTAACTTAGTTCTTGAGTTCAAGGCTTAAGGAGGGAAGCTGGTATAGAATTTTGAAAAAATCGAAAAACATTTTTTTGCCTTAAAAGTTGCTTTAGGGTCTTAGAAATAACATACCAAAAGATGGATGCCGGCAAAAATGTCTAAATGCCCAAATTTTACGTTCGACGGCAGTGCCTCGCAGATATGCACCATTTCGCGAGAAATAAACAAAATGTCGAAATAATCCTTCAACGTCTCATGTTGTTGTTATATATTGTAGAAACAAAATAAAAATATTTTTTGGCCGAGGACAAAGAAGGCGTCTTTGGATAAATGCTAGACAGCGGCCATTTCGAAATTAAATCACACGAAAAACTTTGTATTTGTGCGATTAGACCTATATTATTAAACCTTTTTCACAGATTTTATATTGATTCCTTTTTTGAGTCAAAATAAATTCATAAAATATGCACATTTTTTGCGCTCTAGACCAACTTCTCCCCTTAAGGGTGGGTGCCACTCAGATGAGTTTATTTCTGATAAGACTTATATACCTCAAGTCATGAACAAATATTGTTTCATGTCATTTGGGTTGTGTTGCTTTGTCGCTTTATAGCGCAGCTCGTCATTGCTAATTACATGGACGGACGCCATTAAGTTGCGCGGTCGTAAAAGGATTCAAAACGGTACATTTGGACTCGAAATCAAAAGTGAAAGTCTTTTTGCCTTGCCGCACTCACTCACATCTAAGAAGGCTATTATTTTAATTTCTCTTTCCTTTTTATTATTATTCTCGTGCTGCTCCTTTTAGTTTCGTTACATAATAAAAATACCAAAATTAAATTACTAAAATGAAATTAAATTTTGTGGAATTTATTTTACTTATACAAGACGACATAATGAGCTTAAGGCGCATTTTTCTCCGCACATGCAGCGCGGGGCATTGTTGGTTGTTGTTGTAAGCTTTCAAGCGCCGCGAAATGAATGAGTTAATTACATAAGAAAAATGGGGTTTAATTTGATTTGTAGGCGAAATTCGCATTGCGTGTTCGGTTCGTTGATTCCATAGTCTGTTGTCTCTATGTTTTATGGCACTGCTGTTTAATGTGAAATGGCAGAAAGTGTAGCAATTATTTGCCTGAAGGCACATTAGAGCCTAACTAATGGTGTTTATGTGTTTAAATTTGTGTTTGTGCCCTTTCTGGCTTTGAGACCACTGATCCGTCGGACTCAAACTCGCTGTGTTTTCTCTTCAGCGCTTTAATTGCTTGTCAATAATATTTTTTTTTTCATATTTTTTAAAAGAATCTTGCGTTGTAGTTAAATGCTGTTTAAGGTAAAGAAATTTTAAAATTGAAAATTTAGAAACGAAAGACACACATTGAGCTCAAGCTATACATATT